GGTTCTGAATCCTGCCTGTTCCTTCTTATTTAAAAAAATTTTTTTTTCTTTATTGATTTTAGAGAGAGAGGAAGGGAGAAGGAGAGACACAGAAACACCAATGAGTGAGAACATCGATTGGCCGCCTCCTGCATGCCCCCCAATGGGGATTGGGCCCCCAACCTGGGCATGTGTCCTGACCAGGAATTGAACTGGCGACCTCTGGTGCAGGGGTTGACGCTCAACCACTGAGCCACACCAGCGGGGCCTGCCTGTTCCTTCTTTACGGCTCAGCCCAGGTGTGGTCAGTGACATCCCAGGGGCCACACCCTCGGGCCAGTCCCTCACCCGACACACCACTGCTGATCAGATGTTGCTCAGGAGAGACCCTTGAGGAGCGTAGCTGCGTCCCCGGGCTGGCTTCTCCCGGCCTCACCCCTGCTCTGCAGGGCCATCGGGAGCAGCGTACAGGGAGCACGTTACCTCAACTGCTCACATACACACTTTCCGTGGGTTACGTGTTAGTGTCCGGCCCGTCGCTTTTACAGGGGTCGATACAAGAACCGTCTGCTTGCCCAGCAGTGCGGTGTGCTTTGTAAAACTGCAGTGGGAGGCATTGTTTGTGATGTCGCTCGGTGTCCTTTATACCAGGGTCCACGCGATACATTCTGCTGTGTGTTTGGGGCCAGGAGGAAATGATATTTTTGCAGATAAATTAGTTAGCCTGCTTCCTGTTGTCAGAAAAGAAAGCTGGAACTCAGGGTGCGGGTGGCTAGGAGGAGAGAGTCAAATTTATCGCCTGTGTGTTATAATCTGCTCCGCTGTGGGGTCCAAGAGCACTTACTCCTACTTCTTTTAATGGACTTATTTTATGTTCAAATGTCTCATTATACTTTTGCAAGATGTGTGAGTCTGGAAGTCATCTGGGGAAGCCCTGATTGGGCCTATTTGCCGCTCGAGCTGGCTGCTAGGGGGACAGAGATTCATTCTGCACCCAGACTTCTAGGCTCCCACTTCAGTGGGAAAAGAGCTATGGGAATAAATAATTACGAAACAGGGCGGCGCTCTACTGGAGGTGCGTGGGACTGGAGGGCAGAGCCGACTTGGGGACAAGGGGACAGGAGATGTCATGGAGGTCACGGTTGAACTGCTTTGGGGTCGGCAGTGGGAAGAGGGCACTGGACGGCACATTACATATGTGTCTAAATCTGAATCAGACAGAGTTATCTCTATGCATGTGGTCCCTCATGCTGGCCAGGGCAGGCACTGGACCTCTGTCCCTCTGTGGACTCCATGATGCCCGCCTGGCAAGGGGTGAGGGCAGGGCAGTGTGGGGTTCAGGGTCCGGAGCCAAGCCATCTGTGTGCATCCTTCACTGGGCAACATCAGACAGGTACATGCAACCCCTTGGGCTTTAACTGTACAGTGAGGGTAATGGTAGTATCTACTCTTGGAGTTTCAGAAGTACTACAGGAGGAAATACAGGAGAAGAGCTTAGAATCATGCCTGGCACGCGGTGAAGAACTCAAGGAACGTCGGCTGATGAGTCTCATCTGCATGATTGACAGTAGCAAACCACTGGGGGTAGCCAGGACAATCAAGAGGGGAAACACACCGAATTCTAGTCAGCTAGCTGAATTCAGTTCAGTAGAATCATTCCCAAATGATGCTTAATTTCAAAGGAACATTGTTTGATTGCTTCCTGAAGCAGTATGTGGGCGTAGGCCCTGCTCTGAGTCTCCCAGTAACTTTTGTTTGTTGGTGATAGTCTTAGAACTGGTCATCGACGTGTCTCCAGAGAACCTCTCCAACTCTGGCTGGGATGTCTGGGGGCTCACTGGGCCCAGCATCTCGCCTGCCTCCTCTGCCTTTATTGGTTTCCCTGTCCACAGGCTATGGAAAGGACCAGGGTTCCATGGCAGGCAGTCCACAAAGGAGAGCTGTCATGGATTTTCAGCCAGGAAGGGGGGTAGAAGTCATCATAAGAGCACATGCACATACACACATGCACACACACACACACACACACACATGCACAGACACACACACATACGCACATGCACACACGCGCGCGCACACACACATGTGCACAGACTGGCTTCTCGACAGATACTTGTCTGTGTGGCAGGGATGGGATGCGGAATGTTTAACAACGGCTCTATGGGGAAGAGTCCCCTTGGTGTACATACTCCCACCATGCCGACTTCACCCACCATGTGAGGTCCTGAAGACGCCCAGGGGCCCACCGTCACCTAGTATCGCCGTGGTACAGGCACCGTAGAGGTCAGGGACCCCCAGGCAGAGATAATAGTAAAATGTAGTAAATTAACCAGGAAGGGATGGCTTTTGAGTTACTTGTTACTTTTGCTTTTTGTAATGTACTTTATTTAATTGTATGTAATTTAATTTCGCACAACAGCTGTGTTTAACCACCCTCCTAAATTCCTGAAGGGGTACGGAGCGCCCTTCCGACGGACGGCGGCTCTGGAACAGCCCCGGACCCGGCTGCCCTCCCCAGTCCACAGCCCCTTCCACGGGCCTCGCAGTCACTGGGGCCTCGCCCCTTTGCCACACGAGACGGCCCGTCGCGCATGTTCTTGGGAACTTGTCTGACACAGCCAATTCCTGCCCAAATACGCGAGGAAACATCTGTGCAGACTCGCTCATTCCGCCCCAACCAACCTCACCGACACGTCCGTGCAACTTCGGGGCAGGGAGGAAAAGAACGAAACGGTACCGAGGGAAGACCGACAACGGGCGAGGGAAGGGGAAGAGAAGATGAAGGGACGGGCCAGAATTCGGGCCTCGCACAGAGCAAAGGCACGGGAGGGCGGAGCGGCGGGGTCCAGCCCGGCCAACGTCCTGCGGGCCGTGAAGGTAGGACCCGCTGCGCCCAGAGGTGCCCCCTCCGCCTGGTCACCTGGTCACAGGGACACCGAGCGCTGGCGGCTCCGCATCGCCCAGACAAGCTCCTGAGTTTGGACAGCAGCACAGTGTGCGCTCTCACAAGGGCAGCTGGGAGATATGAACAATTCCTGTCTAAATTGGAATAGTCTGCTTCTGAAATAAATAGGTATTTCAGATGCTCTTTTGTTTTGTTTTTTTATCCTCACCCGAGGACATTTTTCGATATTTTGTTCAGATAGAGTGAGAGGGAGAGAGAGAGAGAGAAACATCGACGTGAAAGCGACACATCGAGTGGCTGCCACCCACACGACCCAACCAGGGCCGGGGACAAACTGCAACCAAGGTACATGCCCTTAGCGGGAACCAAACCCGGGTCTCTGCGGACCGCAAGCCGACGCTCTAACCGCTGAGCCAAACCGGCCAGGGCCAGATGCTCTTATTAGACTTCCAGCCAAAGCGCTTTCCATTCGAAGTTGGCTGGTTACTTCAGGCGGAGCTGGGCCCTGCCTGCCGACACTGACACCCGCGGTAAGTCAGGAGGCGGCTGCCCAGGGAGCTGGGGAGTCACAGAGCCGGCCTGGAAGAGCAGCGGGAGTTTTCTGAGCACCCAGGAGGGCCAGGGACTGGGGGCGGCGGGTGGAGAACCTCCTTCCTAGATAAAAATGGCCCCTGGAGTTATTGGAGTGGTATTTTCCACATCATTGTTCCTATTCAGCCAGGGTCCTACAGACTGGAGGAGAGGCCAGATGGCAGGCCTGGAATGCCCAGTGGCAGCCCTTAGGGACGACTCCCCATTCAGTGACCTACCCAGGAGCCCCAAAGTTCACGTTGGTACAACTTCCCGGCAGAAGTCACTGTGCCCTTCCTAAGCCCAGCCCTGCAACTCAGGACCCCGGGAATCCTGGCTCCTTGTTGACGGCACTTGGCAGACTCCAGGCTCTTAGCCCAGCCGCTGGCAATAGGAGGGCAGGCCTGGCATGCTGACCTGACCCTCAATGAGCCTCAGTCCTGGGGCCAGCAGTGGGGAGCTCAGGCTCTGGGCAGTGTCTAGGGCTTTGCTGTTCTTTATTTCTGATGGAATCAGTAGCTACTGATATGATCACTATTATTACTGAAACCAAACAACCAACCTTCCTAATTATCCAAGTTCCTAGGGTCAAATGGGTTCTCCTCATGACCTTGAGGCCATTCTCCATTTGTCCCCTAGAAGTTCTGGATGCTGGATTTCTCCAAGTCCAGGCCACTCCAGGCCAGGCCATCCCCAGAGGAACTCAGCTTTGGAATACAAATATTTCTTATTTCATCGACGCTGTCTGTGAGCTTGGTCGCAGGCCAGCTGCGGAGGAGCGAGCTGGTGCTGCCCAGGAGCCCGCCCCCCCAGCCTTCCCGGGGCTGTGCGCCTCCCAGCTCACGTCCTTGGGTCACACACAGATCAAGCATTTTCTGCAGATATCACTGCTTACAAGGTGCCCAGTTCCTTTTAGAATGCCACCCTGTCTGTTTGGCTCTGCGTGATGAACGTGCTGACGTGTGCCCGTCACTGTGGTGGGCGCTGAGGAACACGGGGTCACAAGCGCCAAGTCTGGACTCAGACCACTGGCTCCAGCCCTGGTTTCACAAGGTAACCATGTGACCTTGGGCAACTCATTGAATCGCCTTCATACGGAAAATGCACTTACCTTTTAGGACAGTGGCGTGGATGACAGGAGACAGCACCTTACGTGTGCACAGGTGGTCGGCCAACGGAAGCTGCTTCTCCAGCAGTCATGACCATTAGGGTTAGTTAGCAGTGGCTCTCGAAAGCTCAGAGTAGGGCCCCGAGGGCCTGGGGCATAGAAGGTGAATTTAGTTTGGGGTGTGAAGTGGGCAAGGTCGGGAGGGTGAGGCAGCAGCTGGGAGGGTGGGGTGCCAGGTGCTGACAGCGGGGGGCAGGCACACAGGTGGGGGAACGTCCTGGGGAGGAGGGCATCCGCAGAAAGTCACTCTGGCAGCGGACCCTCCCTCCGTCACCGTCCCGAAGGCTTGGGCGGGTTATGTCTGAGCCGAGTGTGGGTTTCCAGGATGGGACAGCTGTGTTCCCTTCCCCACTCCTGCAGGCTCCCCTTTGTACCCACCTAGGGCCACTTGCTGCAGATGCCGCTGGGTAAGTTCTTCCTTCAGGTGACCTGTCAGAGACACAGAGGAAAACGGCTAGTGAGTTCCCAGGGCTGCAGGAAGGCTTGGCCTCAGAAGCATGTGGCAAGCTTAACAAGAGACTAAAGCAAAGTCAGGGAGACCAGAGCAGGCATAGCTTCCAAGAAGAGCCCCTCTGTGCCCTGAATTTTCTTGGAAGAAGAGGTGCCAAGGTCGGGGCCCTGGCACATCACTGCCGATATGCATTTCGCCTTTGGATTCAATCATTTTGGGGTTCAGTTATCTTAGTCTGTCACTGATAATCTTTGCTAGTGCTCTGATCTCTCTCTCTTTTTGTTTGTTAATCCTCACTCAAGGAGATATATATATATATATATATATATATCTATATATAGATATATATATATATATATATCTCCATTGATTTTAGATAGAGTGGAAGAGAGGAGGGAGGGAGGGAGAGTGAGAGAGAGAGAAACATAGATGTGAGAGAGACACATCTACTGGTTGCCTCCTGCACAACCCCGACCAGGGCCAGGAACCAAACTACAACCAAGGTATGTGCCCTTGGCCGGAATCAAACCCACAACTCTTTGGTCCGTGGGCTGACACTCTAACCGCTGAGCCAAACTGGCCGGGGCTAGAGCTCTGATCTCTTACAGAGGGATGCAGGGCTTGATGCTTTAATAGTTTATAGAACCACTTGTAAATCCCCTTCATTCTTTTAAGCTGTATGAAATTGGGTCAAATAAAAAAAGATGGTGGTTTTGGTTAATCATAACCTTAAGATAAACACAGCAGTTGATTAGTTGGTATGAAACATACATAATTCTAGGTTGTCTTAATAAAGACACAGTGTATACATCAAAGGAGGTGATAGCTCCACTGTACTCTGCAGTGATCGGACTACAGTTGGTCTTTGTTCTAGGAGCTACTCTTTATAAGAAAATGTTAGTAAAATAGAAGTTATTTAGAAGACGGTAATTGAAATGACGAGGCATCTGAAACTATGCCATTTAGATGGAGAAGAAAATACTTGGAGGGAGAGGAGGTATGGAGATAACGGCCATCTTAAAAAAATATAGACATTGTCATAGGGATGAGAAAACATTTATCTTTGTCCTACTGCTGAGGGCAAAGGTCACGTTGAACGAAGGCGGACTTGGGGCTCAGTATGAGGGAGGAAGAACGAGGGCTGTCTCAGCCTGGGTTAAGTCGTCTCAGAATGGACTAGACTCCAGCAGGGCAGCGAGCGCTTCCTGCAGGTGCGCAGGCAGAATTGCTGCCCTGGGTAAGAGGTGGGACCGCGTGGCCTCCAGATTCCCCCATCTTCTAAAACTATGGTTTTGTGCTCGAGGGACGGGTGAAACAGCAGCCCTGGGTCATGTATGTGGAAGGGCTCAGCGCACATGTTAGATGTCCGTTCTGTCTATCCTGTGTGTCCCATGTGGCGGGGGGGAGGGTGATCAGGCCGCTGGGGGACTCCTGCTCCCTTGTCTAATGCAGTTCTCTCCTCACACGAAGTACACTCTGTGGCTCAGAGACCACGGCTGCACTGGGTAGACAGTGACACAGTCGCAGGAGACCTGGTCACGCCCCAAAGTTCTAGGGCACGCCCAGAATGTCACGACTGGGGGCGATAACACAGGTCCTTCCGTTTAGCTTCCCACCCAGCTTAGGGATCCCTTCTACAGAATGAAATGGTCACTTCCCCTCCGACTTGCTCGCATCCAGGCTGTCCCGCCGACGAGACTGTACATAAGGAATTCCCGTGTGGCGTCCACACCGCTGCCTTGTACCTTCCAGGCGCGGATCCGGTCTGAGCGGGAAGAGCACAGAGAGAGCCCTTCCCGCGTGTCAGGACGCCGCGACTTCTCCGCCTAGACCTGCCCTTTCCGGGGGAAACATCAGTTCCTTCAGGTTCCCCTCGGAGCTGCTGTTTCCGGGTGTGTGGCTGGGCCTGGCCTCCACGTGTCCCCACCGGAGAGGACAGAGGAAGCCAAGGATTGGGCACAGGCAATGACTGCACCCTAATTCCTAGTGGGGAAGGTGGGAAACGGGGTGTGTTGGGAAGGAGCTGGGGATGTGGACACCTGGCTCAAGGTGAGTACCGGGAGGGCCTGGAGCCCCCAGGAGCCTGGTCTGACCCGCAGGCCAGCCCCAGCCCCAGATGGGACCGTGTCCCGCTGAGCGGCACGGCCATTACTGTCTTCATCAGCAGAGTGAAGAAGTTGGGGTTAGGGGTGCTGTAGGCTGAGACTCCAGTCTGCATCAAATATCGCTGACTTGAATTTTCAAGAAGCATAGCACACACATTTTTCAAATAACAGGGTACAGCGCTGTGACAGAGGAGCACACCGTGTAGACAAGGGCTTTCTCGTGCCCAGAGTATGGACAGCCAGGGCCGCTCGGGGCATGGCCTGTCTCCTGGGAGCCTGGGTACCTCCTTCCCAGTGATGCCGACAGTGACCCACTCCTGGAGAGCCTCCAGCAACCTGCCTTCCCGACCACGTGCCCAGCTACGTGCCCCCCGCCACCTCACACGCTGCGCCCCGTAGGTGCTCAGCCCTGCATGCTGTGACCTCCGGGTCCCTACTGGAATGACCACTCCCTCTGCCAGTCCCTGGGGAAGATCTCTAGTCCCTGGGGGTTAAGGATTCTCCGAAGGCCCCAGCCTGGGAAGAGCTGCCCATGTAAACAAAGACGAGATTTTGCCACCAGGACTGAAAGTTTTATCAACTGCACAAACATATCACCTACTCTCAGAACAATGACCTATTCCTAGGGGACATGAGGTCCGTCTACACGTACGTTTACAATGTGTTGAGTGGCGCTCTATTTTGGTGAATTGTCTGACATCTCTCAGCACAGGGCAATTTTTGTTCTTGAGATCTTCCCAAACAAGCTTCTAAAAAGAGCCTTATGGCTGGTCCCTAATTGCATTTTCCAACAGAGCCATTCTTCATGTGAAGCTAAGTCTCTGTAATCTGCTGGATCTCACAGCTCTGCAGGGTTTGGCCGGGGAAGGAGCTGAGGGGGCTGCGGAATCCACTCAGCGTGCAGCTTGCTGTCGTGAGCATGGTGATGCATTTGCTGGTTTTGGCCTGGGTTCCGGGACGCATCGCGTGCCGAGGTATGGTACAGAGATGAAACAGACCGAGGGCTCCCGGCCTGCGGCGGGAGGTGGTCTGGAAGGAAGCAGGGGAGGGGAGGGGAGCTGGCTTGGAGGACGGTGGTAATTAGTAACTTTGTCTCCAGTAAGTTACAGCGGTACATGCCAGAAACGTCTCTCACTTTCTGAGTTGATAGAGTGGGGTAGTAGCAGCAGGTGTGTGGTGTGGTGTATCATCCACGCTGGTCCGTTCCCTGTTGATGCTCCCAAGAATCTTGAGATATAATACAGCAGATATGATCCCATGCGATGGAGGGGACGCCCCCGAGGAGATGCAGGGTCTCAGGAGTGACCACGTGCAGGGTGTGTGCATTGCACGGTATATAGATTCTCTGGACCAAGTACTGCACGTGAAAGGCATGGTCTCCATGCTGAAGCAACACTTATTTTCTACATCGATATTCAGTCTTCTGGATCAACCGATTTTCCTGAATCTTCACACTTGCTCTGCATGCATGTTAGTTTGGAATCAGCCACCAAGCGACATTGCCCAGCTGCGCCGGAGCAGGGCCGTCCACTCACAACCCCCTGAGTGAATATGGACGCCCACCCACTGTATGTTAAGCTCTGTGTTCCAGGGGCTGTGTAATGTGGAAACCGGTGGTGGGTTCTGTCCCAGATCAAGGAAGTTCGCCTGACACAGGGGGTGCAGACAGGTGGCCGTGTGCTCTTCCGTCTAAAGCTCGGCCAGTGGCTGAGCTGGCCCCTTCCTCGTGGGTGGTTCCACTCCCTGCTGACGGCGCTCTGGGGCAGCTCTTACCAGTCACTGGGGACTGAATGGAGACGGAGCCAACCTCTGCCATTTTGGTTAGAGCAGAACGTAATGACGGACTTGTTGATGGGCCAAGTTCGGTTCCAACCCCGATCCAGCTACTTCCTAGTGGGGCAGGTTACTTAACATCTCTGGGCCTCAATGTTATCGTGTGGAAAATGGGAATAATAATATGACTGTGGTCATGTCTGCGTTACTGTAGCTAGATTCTCGAGAGAATCAGGGGGTAACGGAGCAGCACAGAGGATGCCCTCAGGAGTGCAGGTGCTCAGGTGCTTGCAGACATGGAAAGGGAAGAGAATGGGCCTGCGCAGGAGAGAGCAGGGCCGGGCCTACCTGCGAAGGCAGTGGCAGAGGAAAGTGCAGGGGAGGAAGCTGGCCAGCGGTATTAGAAAGGGCATCACCCGTGAGGGTGAGACTGAGCACGTCCCCAGAGAGCAGAGGTGCAAGGTGAGCTTGTGAAAGGCGTTCCAGCAGGGGAGGCTGCGGGGCCGCAGGCTGGAGAAGGCCAGGGATATACTGGCTTGGGGCAGGCGTTGGGAGGCAGGGCTTGAACGAGGGCGTGGGGCTGGGGGAGACTGAGTTCTGGCTGTGCTGCGGGCCAGGCTCCCAGGCAGTCACGGAAGGCTCTGGTCCATCCGCTGTTCTGGTCAACTCGACTGCTATGGATCCCAGTAAGATCGACTTAGAATGAACATCAGTCGCGGAATTGGGGGGAGGGGAGAATACACAGAGTCTGTTTCCTGTCCGAGGGGCCACTTTTAAAGGGAAGGTCTGGTTGGTGGCCTTGAACTGGGGTGTTGATTTCAGCTGTGACGTGGGAGCAGTTTCTTTGTACTAACATAGAAGATGTTGGCCACTGAAAGGTTAGATTCTCTAAAAGCCGTTTGTACGGCTGTTTGTAAAAACAACGGGCTTAGCCTAGATCGAATGTGTACACTATTAGACGAATGTTCAACAAACAGGAGTGCGTAGATCCTTTGAAGTCTCTCCTCCTTGGGAATCTATATTTCATCGGGTTTTTGAAATGTTTTTTCATTATAGATTTTAGAGAGGAAGGGAGAGGGAGAGAGAGAGAGAAACATCGA